CTGCACCGTTATTTCAGAGGTACCTTTGTACCCCCCGCAAAGGGGGGCACTGCAGGGGCGGAATGAAGGAAGAAAGTAGCAACTGCTGAAGCCTGCGCTGGCCTGGAATGAAGGTGCACCAAAGCAGAGCCTGGACACAGAGACTAAGTAACAGAAGCAGAAATTGCAGGTTGTGTTCTGTATGTAATACACTGTTACCCAATCTTCAACTCCGGTTTTACTCCTCTTTGTCAGATACTTTTATAGCGTTCTCCTCAGCAGATCTGGGGTTAAAGTGTTTTCTGTGGTTTCTGGGTTTAGGCATACAGAGACTGATCACATACACAAATGAGCTGACACACGTGCCCCCCTACAGGCGCACGCTGTAGAGTCGTACCACCCTTACCTGAAAGAGATGATGTCGAAGTTACGAGTATATATCCTTGCCATGAACATAGCCATGTCGTTCGCTTCTGACCCGCTGTTGGTCAGATAAACCACCTGCAGGAGAACGTGTAGGATCAGAACAGCGCACAGCCACCGCCTTGTTCCGCATCAGACCATGTCACCTGGCAGCATTAGGAGCTATTACAAGGTGACTTCACCGCAATAAACACAGTATTGCCCGTTCACTACAAACGAGGACCACGATCAAGCTGACCTACTCAGGGGGAGTACAGGGAAGGGCTGTGTAGTGTCCCTGCTTGTTAGTAACGGGGAGTGACACACACAGACACAACCGTGGAAGAGAAGAGGCAAGCAGAGTTTGCTTACTGGGAGCAAATGAGGATTAAGGGGATAAGAAAACAGCTCAAATTCTAGCGTCACCACTTTTAAAGTTAATTTTTAGAGATGACTGAGATTCTCCACTGCTTAAACTACGCAGAGGCTTCACATTTTTCTTTTTTTCTTTTACTCTCCTTCCATTTTTTAAGGCTTTGGTACTTCACACTATTCTGCCAGCCCAATTTAATTTCATCACCAGTTTATTTTACCTGAAAACAAAAATTTTCTTACTGTTTCTGGGCATATGAAACATAACATTTATGTGGTTTATGTATTTAACGGTCAGTAAAGCTCACCACACAAAGCACTGTCCAATACATTTCACTGTGAATTTTCACGAGATCAAGCAAATTAAGGCTGGCTACCTATAACAACAGTTAACACCTTAGTCCACCCAGCAGTTCCCAAGCTGGCAATGCCCCTTCACAGTGACAACTGGAGGAAGAGAACAAACAGAGGAGGAGCTTGGGATATTATGCTTGTCTACATCTGGGTCTAAAGAAAAGGCCTTGAGGGTCATCATGCTCTCTTTATCTGACAGCCTGTAGCCCCCCACAGGTTTTCTCTCCACAGATATCATGTAATTTATTTAATAAATATTTTTCAACTAAGCATTTCTTATAAACAGACATCCCCCTTATCAACCCCTGCTCCTATCAGAAGCAAAGTACCTTAAGCGGATCTGGAAGAAGCGAAGTTAGCTTTTCAGCATACTCCTGGATTGACGGGTGCATGTAGATATTAGTGGTATGCCACAGGCGAGTGAGCTGTTTCTGGGTAGCCATGGTTACCCTCCTGCATGTAGCACAAGACGAGACAACGGGATTCAACTCCATGCACATGTGCACTCATACAGGCAAACACCTACCCGTGATTAATTCTGAAAATGCAGACAAAATGCGCCGTCTTCCAGGTGGATGAACAAGTAGACAAAACTCATGAATTCTTCAAAGCGAAGTGGAAAATGGCCTTAACATAAATGATATATGACAATTCAGTGAACTATATTCTGGTTTTAGGCTCACAGTGCCAGAGATTAATGAAGACCAAAACCAACATAGGCACCACTTCCTGTATTTTACAGCACAAATCTAGCAGTAACATACTTACGGGTGACAGTGACCAACACTAACAGTGACAATTCCAGCAAAGAGATCAAGGTATCTTCGTCCTTCATAATCAAACAGCCACTGCATGTGCCCTTGATGCAGCAACAATGGCTTCTTGTAATACAGCCGCAGAGAAGGAGAAACATTCTGCTCACGAATCTTCCACATACGTTCATAGGGATAGGACTGGGTGGAATAAAAAAGTCAGTATCTGTTCAGGCTTTCTAAAGATCCAAGCTAGTGGAGCTGTAGGGGGTCACACAGATTACAAAGCTGTTGACACTGGATGTTCACAGAACTAAGATTTTACACAAGTTCTGGCAAACAGAGGGTTCTACAACAGCTTCTGAAATAAGATTGCTGTTCTGCACTTATCTCTTCCTTGAAAATTTACAATTTAGCTTTAAGTTACAGAATTGTCACACAGGTACATCTATAGGTTATATCCAGGTTGTAACAGATTTTTTTTTTCCCCTGAAGGAGCAAATTTTATAGTTGTGCCTAATGCACTGACTATTCATAGCAAATGAGCCTATCTCTCAAGTCTAGTAATGCAGTTGTTGCAGTTTAACTTAAATTATTTAAATTCACTGTGATATGTATGACTTACTTTGTATTTCTCAGGAACAAAATCGCAAGGAGGCATTTTTGCTTCTGCGGAGACAGAGCTCTTCCATTTCTGCTGCCTAAAGACAACTACAAAACAGTAGGAGAATTATCAAACACTTACCAAGGTGCTCACCTGAATGACTTTCTCAATAAGCTTGTGCAGAGAACACACAAGCTACAGTCAAAGCACGTTTTAGATGTTTTGTCTGAGAGATTTTCTTTGGGGAAAAAAATAAGTATTGTCTTTGTAAAGGCAAAATATATGTAGATTTATTTTTAAAAAAAGAGCTTCTGTTATCTGCTAAAACTCAGTTTTAGCTTTCACACATACTTTTATTTTGCAGAAAAATACTTAAATCAGTTTCTACTACAAATTCTTATCTGGGAGTAGCAAGAGCAGGACTTAAGGAGACCCAGGGTGACCGCAGCACAGGTGGTGCTGCCAGGGACCAAGGTACAGTCCCAACGGACCCGAACAAAGTGGGAAGAGCAGGGTCCACTGAGCACATCCCAGGAAAGTGGAGGAGATGACTTATGCCCAGTGTCTGCCCAGGGAGTCCAGCCAGGAGCAGAGGCAGATGGGGCCAGAGACAGCGCTGGAGACAAGGCTACAGCGCAGGTTCAAGGTCCACCCTGGGGACAGGGCCAGCAGGTGGACTGGGGACAAGGCTACAGCCGTGGCACAGCTGAGGCAGGGACTGAAGGCGCAGGGCCCAAAATCCTACAAACACCACGCTGTTCGACCTTTCATTGAACTGGAACTGTCCTTCAGCAGGTATCTGAGAAAGTCACCACTGAAATACGTTCTGCTCCTGCGTCCCTAACGTTACCTGCGGAGAACTTCGCGTTTATTTGTAAATGTGTAAGGTTTACAACAACTCCTAAAGCACAAGAACGAAGAACAGTTTCCTGAAGTAAGTTACATGCGCTGTCACTTACAACGACCGGCAGCAGTAATGCATTGACCACCTACAAGAGCCCAGCCTCAAAAACATCAATTAAAACCCGCCCTCCGGGCGCTGTAACCAAAACTCCCGGGGCGAGCGGGCCCTCGGAGC